CGGCTCATTTTTTTTTAATATGGCAATCCAGTTTTCCATCACCCTTTGCTGAAAAACATTATTCTTTCTCCATCAAATTCCCATGGTACCTTAGTTGACTATATATGAGGAGGTTTATAACTAGACTCTATTATACTATGCTCTTAATCATTATAGAGAATTACCCGTAGAGGTCATTAGCTAAACAATGGGGTCACTGAAATAATGCCTAATCAGAGCCCCCGACACCCATTCCGTACTTCAGTTGCCAAATGTCTAATTAAATTAAAAGATGTTTGCTCCTTGGAAGAAAAACTATGACAAACCTAGACAGTGTATTAAAAAGCAGAGACATCACTTTGCTGAAAAAGGTCTTTATAGGCAAAGCTATAATTTTTCCAGTAGTCACGTATGGATGTGAGAGTTGGATCATAAAGAAGGCTGAGTGCTGAAGAACTGATGCTTTTGAATTGTGGTGCTACAGAAGTTCTTGAGAGTCCTTGGACAGCAAGGAGATCAAACCAGTCTATCCTAAAGGAAATCAACTATGAATATTCATTAGAAAGACTGATGCTGAAGCTCCAATACTTTGGACACTAGATGTAAAGAGTCAGCTCATTAGGAAAGACCCTGCTACTGGGGAAGATTAAAGACATGAGGAGAAGGGGGCGACAGAGGATGAGATGGTTGAATGGCAGTACTGACTCAATGGACATGAGCTTGAGCCATCTCTGGGAGATAGTGAAGGACAGTTAGGCCTGGCATGCTGCAGTCCATGATGTTGCAAAATGTCAGACACACTGAGTAACTAAAAAACAAATAAATGAAGCAATTTAGGCAATGACAGTATCTGGCTTATATAATTATAGTGTTCAAAAGAAAATCATAGTCCAAGGAACCTGCATTTTGAATAATCTGCAGTGGACTGGCCTGGTCTCTGAGGAGCTGGTAAAGTTATCACTTGCTACTCAGTTTGACCTGAGAGCTCATCTCAGAAAGGATATTCAGCTTTGTCTTATCTTTGGGGTTTTGGGGGAATGCAGAGAGATTACAGAATCTCAGAACCAGTCTTGCAGTTCAGCTGTTTGACAACATCTTTATCATGCTGATACCTTTATTCAGTTATCAAACTTTGATTGGATTCCTACAAAGAAGTCAACTCTCTCACTCCCCTTCTCAGGGCAGCCTGATCATCTATGGAGAGTCCTTGTTCTATGATCTTGCATAGAAGTTGCTTTCTATGCAACTTCTATGATCCTGAAACTCTCACGTATGAATCCAGTTTTTGTGGCCTCACATGAATTTTACCTGCCTGGCCGTCAGTCATATGAAGACACAATCAGTTACTGCCCTAATCACCCTACCCCATTCACTGTTATCGGGGGCAAGGGAACTAAGGAAACCAATCTTAACATTCCCCCCTCTTCACATTATAGAGTTGCATGCCCCTTACCATCTTGTTCTCTACTTTGAATAACTCTCCTTTTATAATATCATTCTTAAATGTTAGCCCACAACTGAACACAATCAATCCTTCAACATGGATCACATGGTAATGAGAACACTGACCTCTGTGCTTATAAACAAGCTTTAATAGTGCATTTTCGAGTTAGAAATAATAACAAGGTGTGAATAATATACGGTCTCATGTTTAGTAGTCTCCTTACTTATCCAAGTTCGTTTTAGTTTGGATAAAACTAAACAGTTTCAAGTCGATTCTTCTGCCAAAGAGTGATATTACATTTAATTTTTAAAAAATCTAAGTTCTGCAAAATTGAAATTCATATTAATATGTTTTTACTTATACTCCTTTACTTGAATAACCACCATATATAACACAATGTATTTCAGTTCTTACAACAAGTACCTTTAGATGTTAAACAAAATGTAAGCAAAATTCTTAGACAGAAAGTCTTGCCAGATACAAAGTGTTATTTTTCTCTTTCTCTAGTTTCACCAAATACCAAAGGCCCAGTACTTAGATATGTGAGGCATCTGCTAATTACATTTCAAGAGTCAGGCAATGGTCATATTTACATTTCACAAAACTATCACATTCTCTTGAGGGAAGTCAAAGATTATTATGTGGGCATTGAAGCAAGTATGAATAAAATAGACTCTGGTTTCCAAAAAGAGAATATAGAATACAATATCATTCTCAATTTTATCCTTCTGGCTTTACTGATATCTTTGATGAATGATAAAAGTAATATTTATAAATCAATTCCAGGTAATACAACTCTAAAAATAGTCTATATCTTCCTTATTCTTGGCATGTATCATACTTTGCAATTAGGTGTTATTTGTATATTTAGTTGTATTGTAGGGATGCTTATGTTCCTCTCTCCCCTTCCCCATTCATATGCTGATGCCCTAACCCCAGTGTGGTTACATTTGGAGATTGGGCTTTTAAGAAGGTAATTAACGTTGAATGAAGTCTTAAGGATGGGACCCTGAGCCATAGAATTGGTGTCTTGGATCAGGCTATAAATCAGAGGTTTTTATAACACCCTCTTCAGATTTGACTAATTTGCTGGAGCAGCTCACAGAACTCAGGAAAACCATTTTACTCACTAGGTAACTGATTAATTATAAAAGAAAATAACTCAGGAGCAGTCAGATGAAAGAGAGGTCCTGGGCAAGGTATGTGGCAAGAGGCACAGGGTTTGCCCTCTTCAGTTATGCCACCCTCTCTGCATCTCCATGTGTTCACCCAAAAGCTCTTGGGGGTTTTTACTTTGGGACTTTTAAGGAGGTTTTGGAGCAAAAGTATGATTGGCCATGGGCAGCCGAGCTCGGTCTCCAGGCCCTCTTCCCATCCTGGAGGAGTGGAAGCTGGGCCTGAAAGTTCCAACACTCTAATCACGTGGTGGGTTCTTTGAGCAGCCAGCTCCCATCCTTAGGTGACCTGAGGGCTTTCAAGAGTCACCCCATTAACATAACACAAGGCAGCTTCATCACCCTTTCCCTGGAAAATTTCAAGGGTTTTTGGAGCTGTGAGGCAGGAACCCTGGACAAGCACCAACTGAGAAGTATATTTTGGTCATCTGAATGACCAAATATATATTTCTTACAAATCATAATATCACACTCTGAAAGGCCATGTCTATAGGGAACATTATTTCAGAAGGGTATGGGTGATAATCAGGGCTAATTCTTGCCTCTTTAAGAGTCTTAGACCGCAATCAAGTTTCTAGGCACTAACAGAAATGGCAGAGACATTTTCCTAGCTGCAGGCTGCTGGATGCCTTAAACACACCAGCACGGCCTTATTTCATGAGTCCAGGAGACTGGATTAGAACAGCACATGCAGCCGCAGTGAGGAGCCACTTCCTCTGCCTGGGGACTGTCCTCAAATCTGTGCTCTGCCCAGACACTGCTCTGTCTTACACGGGCTACCCTTCCCAGGCCTCAACAGCCCAGACAGGCTCTCCGCCTTCACCACAGTCTAGAAACACATCTTTGGAAAATATGACCTCATTCCAGGGTGACCCGGGTTCATTTATAATGGAGAGAACCCATGAAGCTGCTGCCAACCTTCAGACAAGGCAGCGGGGATAGAGGGAAACAGACAGGGATGTAGAGCAGAAAGAGATGGAACTCAAAACTACTTATAAATCAATTCTGAGACATTTGAAAGGTCTGACTTTAAATATCTTCTTATCCAGCTGCCTTTTACATAGTGATGAGTAACTTAAGAGTCTTGCATCTCGGGTGTGATCCAGAGCAGAAGCAAAAATATCACGTGGGAACTTTTCAGAAATGTTACTGAATAGAAATCAGATTTTAATGAAATAGACTAAGTGACTTGTACATACATGAAGGTTTGAGAAGCACGGGTTTTCAGGGTTAGGAATAAGTCGAAACCTACCAGTTCTGGTTCCCAGTCAGGCCCTGGATGAACTCTTTGCTCCCTCATAACTCTCTCCTGAGACCTCTCTCTATCAGGGCAATCCCTTCTCTTGTCTCCTGGGGACAGAATCCTGTTTCACTCCCCCACCTGAAGCAAGCACTTGGTCCTTTGAAGGTTTCCCATAGATATCTACCTACGTTAATGATGTGGATGTGAAGAAGGAAGAAAGAGGCTTCCAAACCTCACAGATCCTCTTGTAGGAGACAAAATTCAACCAAACTTGCTAAAGGGTGGGGCAAATAGAGATGGTGTGGGATGAGGTCTTTGTTTTAGGTAGAATCTAAATCCATCTACAGATTTCCCTGGTGGCCCTGCCTGCAATGCAGAAGACCTAGGTCGAGCAGATCCCCTGGAAAAGAGAATGGCAATCCACTTCTGTATTTTTGTCTGGAGAATTCCATGGACAGAGGAGCCTGGTGGGCTACACAGTCCATGGGGTCGCAAAGAGTCAGACATGACTGGGCAGCTAACACTTTATCTTTCAAGTTCATCTGCATTCCAGAAACACAAAACCTTTGGCTATCAAGAGCATCTTTCCGTAAAAACACGGGAGTGGAGAAAAAGATGAAAGGACAGGAACAAATCTGTTTTCAAAGCATATGGAAAATGACGGGGCGGGGGGGAGAATCACCATTACAGGATCCTCTCCCCTCTTCCCTTCTCTTTCTCCATCATTTCCAGCACTAATAATGCACAGTTGACCTTCAACCTACAATAGTCAGAAATAAGAAAACAACGTGAGATCTGGCTGTGAAAGATGGGGGTAATTGAGATAGAGAAGCAGTGAGGGCAGATCAAAAAGGGGATGAAAAGCTATCCTCTGAGCACCCTTCCCCCAAAATAAAAATACAACAGAAAGCATGGAAATTCCCAAGATCACATCACTAGTCCCTGAGTGAGTCTAACTTGAGAGTGCATATTCTTAACATGCACCCTACGGGGGCCAGCACAGTGCCTTGGACACAAAAGATTTTAGTCCATATCTTTTAACTGTCTGGTTGAAGACCTAGTCCTTTTCCAATAATATGGGGTTATGCTACACTCTCCTGTGTACAGTTCAGCAGTACTTATCAAATATCTTATGAGTCAATTCTTTTTAATTTCACAGTTAAGATATTAGGTCCTGATGACCCTTCAGGAGGTAAAAGTATGCCTGAAATAAGGCAAAATCTGCTGGGATCTACAGGAACTGCAAGAGACGGGCTCCTGTTGTTTCAACCCCGGTCAAAGTTCTGAAGATGGAATGGGGAATAAATGATCCCAAGAATGCTGGAAAAACTTGGTAACAGAGTGGGAGTGAGGGCAAGAAGGGGAATGAGCAGGAATGGGAAGGATGAAATGTTTATATCAACTTAAAAGTGATGTATTGTCTTGACAGGTTCAACCACATGCTGGAAGCTGGAGGGAGAAGGGGCCTCCTGCTTTGCTGATAGACAGCAAGTTACAGGGACGATGTAAAAAGGTCAGCAAATTCAATCTTCATTTGAGCTACTGCTGTTATTTTAACTCTGTTGCAAAGGGTCACAGCATTCCATCCCAGATAATGAAAGGATGTCGGGAAAAGATCAGAGAAGGCACACACAAAATGGAAACTAACCAAACAAAGGCCAGATTTCATGCAGGGTGACATCAATTGGCTTCTGTTGGAGAGTCTCTGCAGTGACATACCGTGGCTCCCTTTTTCCTCTGCTGTCTGATAGCTTAATGGATTGGGGAAGGAGGACATTATCACTAACTACCAACAAGGCACAACCAGTGATGGAAGTTCCTCTTTGATAACCACTTTCTGGGATTGCCTCCTGGTACCCAGGACCTCCCTTGAACAAAGCTAGACCAGAGAAGACAAGCATCTGCTTCATGGCAGGCAGGGAGGCTGCAGTAGCTTCCTACCCGTGCATCCAGAGGCCTGTTGGCATACCTCTATTAACATCAGTCAGAGCCGCATAATGACTTGTCTTCACATCTGATTGTATGTTCTTTGAGCAGAAGATCTTGTACTTTCCATTTTATAAGGCTGGTGTACATTGCAGGTACAGAGGAGCCTGGCAGGCTACAGTTCATAGGGTTGCAAAGAGTCAGACATGACTTAGCGACTAAACAGTAGCAACACTGTCGGTGCTCAGGATGTGTTTGGGAAATACATCACAGAGAGACTGTCTCCATGAGTAAGGGGCTCCAAGCACGGCTGCAGCAGACACTTGCACTCTCAGTCCAGCTGCACGAGGCAATGTCAAAAGTGCAGGATTGTCATTGGACACTGGAGAATGAAAAACTGAAAAGGTCACTGGTTTCCATTATGGAGACCCTTCCCTCCCTGCCTCTCCAGCTATAATGGCATCTTAAAAGAAGCAAAGACCAAAGGAAGGAGAAAGCTCTGAACTGTCAGAACTGGGGGGGAAAAAATGACAATTTCCTGTTCACCATCATACCCTCATTTCACTGCTCTACTTGACTCCCAGGACAATTTGCCTCCACTGGATCTGCCACCCACACCCTCCAACAGCTCTGGACACCACCCACTAATGCAGACCTCCTGGTTCTGTGAACTTTTTAGGATGTGAGGGAAAAAATAAAACAAAAACTGATGTCAACTAATGGACCAGGCCAAATAAATTCTTGAACTTGCTTTTGTGTCTTGCAAGAAGCCTAACCATGCTCTCTTCACAGAACACATATGTTCATAAGACTAACTGACATCTTATTTTCCATACTGTGGAAGTGAGGGTTTCTGCTCATACGCTGAGTTTTTGTAAGGCCAAGGAGTATCATCATGATTCTAAACCCTAACTATGGGAAACCATACTTAACCCCGAGTTATGGTTCCATATATGAGAGAAACGGTAAGTTTTTACCAACTGCAATTTAATGGAGAAATTCAAAGAAATAATCTTGGACTGCGGAGATATGAAGGTTTTGGCCAAAATAAAGATTTTTTTTTTTTTTTTACAAGATAGGCTTTATATGTAACGAGCATTTCAAACATTTTGATGAAAACATTTCACTTAAATCTAATCAAATGCCTAAGAATTACCTAGTTTTGTAACAAATAGCTGGAAATGTTTGTATTCAAGTAGCCTTTAGAAGGAAGCACCAAATTTATTGAAATTCACTTCTTTAGAAGTTCCTAAAATGGGTGGAAGTTAAGGGAAAGTGGTAGCTGTTAGAAAAATACAGTATCTGTCACTACTAATAAAGCATATGGCTAAAACCTAATCTAGGTATCTATTTTTAAATTAGGCTTAAGATTTTAAGGAAGTTCATATCTAAATTGTAACTCATTCAACAGTCAGAGCTGCCAAGTTTCTGAAAGTTACAAGTGAACACAAAATCTATTCAGGCTCACATACTAATTTTGTAGGAACTGGAAGGACCATCAATGCCAAATAAGAAAAAAATTCCTGTATTTTTAAACAGGCATTGACTCATGGAAGTATTTCCCTCTTACTTGCTCTAATTCCAACTCTTTTTTATTTTTTTTAGTAGTTGTTCGTGCTTTTGGTCAAGCCATCATCTCTCTGATTTTAAGTAACTAAATGATATACTGTATCTTAGTCACAATAGCCTAATTTAGACAATGATCTCTACTTCCTAAAATGAAGTATTCCCCCAAGGGCAAAGCAAAGATTTCACATCAAAGTATATTTTGCTCATCTATCTCATAAATGGGTGAATCTGATTATAAAACTTCAGAGAAATAAGAGTGGATTTTAAGCCAAAATCTACATATTAACATGCTAGAAATGTAGAAAGAGGGTGGGATGGAGGAAATAACTGCTTGGTTTGCTCTATTTTGATTGCCCTTATATAACACCAAGAGCCATTAGTAATATTCATTACTGATGGTGGGGTTCTAAGCACAGCCAATGCTGCTATTTCTGACCATAGAGCATTTATAAAGTGAGATTGAGCTGGAATCAAAAACAAAACTAAAACATCTTATTTCCCTGCTTTCCTTTCTTCTTTCCCCACAATTGCCAGATAATCCCTCCTCCAGTTTATTTTTCCCTCAGCCTCAGGACAGCATTCACAAAGTACGCTGTGTTTGGGAATGCATCATGTCCTAATCTCAACTGAGGGAAAACTGATGTTCCATATAAGACCACAGATTCCACTGAAAGGTTGATGTCAAGAGTTTATGGGTAGATATTACTTATTGCTAGATGTATCGATGCTTTTGATTAAAACCTCTGGTGATAAGATAGAAGTGAGAACAAAGGTTCAAGGAAAGATCAGAATTACAAAGACTAGCAGCAGGCTGATGGGAATGGAGTTTAACCACAAAACCCAGAGACAGAGACAGGTCACTCAGTCTGTGTTTATCATGCCTCCTACTATAGTTAAACAATTGCAAGCCTTGTAGATTTCAACTCCACAATGTCCTACAGGCTGTTTCTTATTTCTGTTATTTTATCAATATCCTGCTTAAGGCTACCAGTATATCTCAGTTTTGCCTCCTTCCTACTCATTAAGCAAACTGATGCCTAAAGAGTAAATATACTCATGCATTCCTCTCTTAAGAAATCTTAAGGATTCCTCATTGTCTTCAGAAGAAAAAGAGTACCATGGAAGGAAAAGAACATATGTGAGAATCCATGCAAGTTTGGATTCCAACCCCAGTGTACTTCCCGCTGACCTTGGGCAACTTCCTTAGTCTGTCTAGGCTTCGATTTTCCCCTTGGTAAAATAGAGAAAACAATAACTATCTGTGGTTGTGAGAATTACATAAGAAAAAGCGTGTAAAATGCCTGGCCACCTTCCTGGTCTTTTGTTTCTTACACACCCTGTAGGGGTGTAAGTGTTCAAATGCTATCCACCCTTCAAAATGCAACCAGAATACTATCTCTTTGTTCTCAAATATATCCCTACTTCCCTCAACCTCATATTCCCTTGTGAATTTCATAGCTCTTTACATTTACTGTCTTTTGGCAATTTTTAATCCTGTGCCCTGTACTGTAGAGAGATGTATATATCACACTCCCTCCTACTGGAAACTTGGATGCACATATCATTTTATTTAACTCTCTAATCTCAGTGTGTTTTGCAAGGAATAGCCCCATTTAACAAATTCAAGTTGAATATGTGAATAAAATTATTTCTTATTCTCAAGAACAGCTCTGATAACTGAAACCCCATGGGCAATGTATTACCCACTTTTCCATCACTGAATGTTGAAAAACTATAATCATAGGCTTTATAGGTTTCCAGTGAATACTTACTAATTGCAATAATTCTGGCATTATTTTCATGTGTGAGCATTGCATTTTAAAAGCAAAGCTACCATACCTATGTTGAAATCCTAGATCTTCTATTTACTAACTTGGGCAAATATCTTAAGTTTCTTAAGCTCTTTGTGCCCTGGATTGATCATTTGTAAAACAACATCTTGCTTCAAAGTGAGTAACTTTTTCCTCATAAATACAAATATCTCTTATATCCACAAACCCTACTCTCTGCCTTAACCATCCCCAAGGATTTCAGTAGGGAACAAGTTCTTGATATAATGAACTAGTAAGAAGAGAATACAGAATACTAAAGTGGTATAATACCAACATTGGGAGAAAAGATAAGAGTGTGGAGGCAGGTGGTAATTGGGAGGTAGGCAGTAGCTGGGAGCCATGTACAAATCCTATGGGACAATTCTATTTGTGTTTAGTTCTAAGCTTCCATTACCACATATCTTCATGTATTTAAAGAAGTTATGTCAAGCTATTTTTCTATTAAGCCAGTATACTGGGTCCAAATCAAATTCTCTGATAAATGGCTTCTGAGATGTTTTACTTCAAAGTTAAAAGTTCTACCTTAACAAATTGCTTCATAATCTATGAAAAATGTGCCATGTGTGGAATGCAGCTACTGGCAAAGGGCAGGTTGCTTCTAGTTAGTCAGTGATGAATAGTCTGCAGATAGCATGAGCTGTGAGTAATTGAAAGGTAAACAGTCATTTTGCCCTGGAGAGACTCAGAATTCATTATTTTCAAGCCCAAGCTCAGAATTCTAGTTCCCAGGATGCCAAAGGCAAAAGAAAATATTCTCTGGACAAAGATATTTTGCTAAACTCTAATGCTGGTCAATGCATTTGGATATTACATTAAGGACAGACTGTAGTACTAAAGGTTTTTTTATTTTTTTTAATAGGACAACTCCACCAGACATTGTTTGGTTAAAAGAAGAAAAAAAGTTATTTTTAAAAGTCATGTCTGCAGTTGCTTCCAAGACTTCTGTTTTGCATTTCTTGGTTTGAAAGGCTCTGTTTGAATGTTTTATGTTCTATTAAATACCAGGTATGTGCTTTGTCAGAAATTCAGATGATAGTGCTTCAGTAAAATTTCCACCCCTAGTGTTCAGTGACATGTGAGTGTGTCCAAGTCTCCTCCTCCTCATTGTCATGGTTGTTGTGATTGTAGGTAATATTATTCTTGGAGTGAGTGAAGCCTGTGGTGACCAGCAGAGATCCTCCAAGTTGCCTCTGGAACTAAAGTTGTCACTTGGGATCTACAGGGAAATAAGTGGGAAGAAAGACACAGAGGTCTTAAAGGAAACAGCTCATTTCTTAACTATTCTCTGCAAGGAAAGAAACTGAGGAGCTTCCATTCTTTCCTTTGTGATGAGTTAGTCATGATGTTGTTTATAATTAACTATGTATCCATGTAAACAGTTAAATTTAACTCAATCCTGAATAAAAAGTAAACTGAAATAATTTTAGCATAAACATTCCCAACAACAAAATTCCAGGTCAAAATTAGGTCATTTTGCTTCTGATCCTCTCTGAGGAGTGAGTGGGGAAACAGGGCAAATGTGAATGGCCAAATGACCTGAATACTTAGAAACTAGAACTGACAAATTCAAGCAGGGACACATTTTGCAGTTTGATATAAATACAAACAACATCTGATATACCTGTCCAGTCTTTGTGTGTTCACATATGTATTTATTGTTTTAACCTAAATTTTCTGAGAATCAGGGTCTGCAAAGCATGCTGATAAGCACCAGGAATAGATGCAGAGAAAAATGGCAAAGCTCCAGGTTTTACTGAGATGATTTAATGGTCTAAATTTGTATATGTTAAAAGTCAGAGATGCTCACATTTTAAAAAGATGAAATTTGAGCCATTCTGTATAATTTTGTAAATCTTCCGCTAAACGAACATGGCATCTTGAGCATATTCCTGGTAGGGGAAATAAGAGGAAGACCTATTGGAGGATCACAGGTAAGCCTTCCTATTTTATGCCAGGCAAGCTTCAGGTACACACAAAGCCTTCAGATACAGAACAAATTCAAAATGCAATGCAAACATATTAGATTCAAACGGGAGACTGCAGGGGCTGTTCAGCTAATTTCATCTTCAAGGTTAAAGCTACTTTTACATAGAGTTGGGCTCTAGGCTGGCTCACCCTGATTGGAGGACTCCCTGCCTAAAGATTCCTTGCTACAGAAAGCAAGATGTTCAAAGTCTCTAGGAAAGTATGATCTCTATGGAAGAATCCAATCTCTCCCAGGATCAGTGCAGACACTGCCAGTATTTCAACGTCTGTCTGGCTTTTCCCTAACTAAATCTGCTTTCCTTTCATCTTGAGCACAAAGCTAGAGCATATTTCCCAGCTCTTTTGCATTAATTGTGGCCATAAGACTGAGTTAGACAGTGGGGAAAGTGCAAAAGATATGTCATTTCCAGGTTTGATCCCCCAAAACCTCCTGTGTAATCCTGGCAATCCTGCACTCTCTTCCCTTGTCTACCAACTGGCTGGCCAATGCCAATTATCCAAGATGACCTTGGAAGCCATTTTAAAGTTGAAAATGGTATGGTGTTCCCTACCACCCCCTACAACCAGCTGGACATTTAAACTCGTTGGACTGCAAGGAGATCCAACCAGTCCATCCTAAAGGAGATCAGTCCTGGGTGTTCATTGGAAGGACTGATGCTGAAGCTGAAACTCCAATACTTCGGCCACCTCATGCGAAGAGCTGACTCATTGGAAAAGACCCTGATGCTGGGAGGGATTGGGGGCAGGAGGAGAAGGGGACAACAGAGGATGAGATGGTTGGATAGCATCACTGACTCAATGGGCATGGGTTTGGGTAGACTCTGGGAGTTGGTGATGGACAGGGAGGCCTGGCGTGCTGCGATTCATGGGGTCGCAAAGAGTCAGACACGACTGAGAGACTGAACTAACTGAAACTTCTATTATTTTGTCTTGAGATTCATAGTTTATCTTTTACAAAAGCCAGAGGTTATATTAATAAAGAATGCAGAGGGTTTTTTTTTTCCCCCCTTTATGGAAACTTCAGTTAAAGTTTCTCTCTTTCTCGCCAAATCCTTCATTGACATAGCATTCAAGGAGAAATATCATTTGATATATTTTACCATTTCCTTAATTTTATATATAACAGCCCAGAAATAATTGGTCATCATATCTGTCTTTGTCACCATGATATGAGAAAATCTTTCTGGGCTACTGCAAAAGCTGGTATTTAATAGTATTTAATTCAGTCACACATCAGTCTGTCCTCTCACAATCTACTGTCTGTACAATTTAATGAAACAAATCTGAGAGTGAAGTTCCTCTACTTAAAATCATTGAAAACCCACCATCTACATTACAGATTTCTTAATGTGTCATTCAAATTCATGGGCAATCTGGCTCCAACCTACATCTCCAGTCTTGCCTGTTCAGAACCCATGGAAAACAAAAACAAAAACTCCAGAGAGCCACTCATCTGGGCTTTTTCTCACATTGATCCTCCCACCTAGAATGTCTTCCCCTCCTACCTTTCAAGATCCAGTTCAAATGTCATTCTCTGGGTAAAGCTTCTCTGAAAGTCACTAGCTGAACAACAATTCCCTCCAGAATATTCACAAGTAGTTTATCTTGACATTTCGCTATAATTATCGGATTCTTAGGTCTTTGTACACACAAAGTGAATCTGACCCATCTTTTTAACTAGTAGAATGAATGGCTTTCAAGAACTATTTATTGAATAAATAATATATGAGGAGAAAGGGGAAGGAAGAGAAGAAGGAAGGAGAAATATGAATAACTGTGAGGTCCTTTTCCATAGTCTAGAAACTTAACTTCCATGTGTCTTCCACAGAAACAAAGATACAAATCCTTCTGTGATCCTCATATCCCTCTTAGTTATTTTTTTCCCTTCTACACACAAAAGAAAAGGAAATAATTAGTGACAAAAACCCCCAGTGACAAATCTTCAGTGTCCTTTCCACCATACGGTGTCAGCTCAGTTTCTCTAGGGCTTTTCTTTTGATACTCAGTGGTTCTCTTATGAGGTTACTCTCTGATATTTAATATTAATTTACCTATGGTGCTGACCCATTCACCTATTAAGCATACACTTATGATCCTTCTCACCCATAAGTGTCCAACAAAAAGTTATATTTTAAGTATTTACAAAAGCATAAATAAATTTTAGAATTATTTAAAGCATCCTTTCTCAGAACTTTAAAGAGGATTTATCATCAGCAAACATTTCAAAAGGACCTTGAGAAGGAAAGCAACCTGTTGAATGTCAACAGTCAGTTAAAACTAAAAGCAACATTAAATAACAAGAATGGAAGAAAGTAGACAAGTTAACCTTGTTCCATCCTCTGATGCTGACAAGACTCCAGATACCTCAACCCTAACAGTCACTGCAAGTCCCCCCATTGGTCTGGCCACACGAGGGGTGCCCACCCTGCTGAACACACATAGATGTTGGTAGGAAGTTATTACCTAGTTCAGTTCAGTTCAGTTCAGTCACTCAGTCATGTCTGACTCTTTGAATGCCAGATTTGGTAAACTGGACTTACTCTAAACCCTAACTGATCAATCAAAACTGAACAATTTCCTATTTTTAAAAAACATTTCTAAGAACTTGGCAAAGACACATAAAGTAAAACTATATAGTAGATTAGTCTACTTTGAAAAACTACCTTTTCATCAAACCACCAATGCAATATTCCTGGAGGATGAAACAGGGGCAGAGAGGCAGTTTTATAGTAGTCAAAGCTGCAGCTTCCTGAGTGAGAAGGCTTATCACCAAGAAGGGTCACCTGTTCTGCTCAGTGGAAAGACCGACACTTGCTGATCTACATAATGCAGTTTTCTTCTTTGGCAATAATTTTCAGTTCCCCTATATGTTGATTCTTTTACACCCAAAAACAAAATAAGCATAATTTTTAAGACTTTTATTTTTTAAAGAGAAGTTGCAATTTTTTTTTTTTCAGAGACCAGATATAATCTCCTATTATGACTCTCTAAACTTCTGGTACAGACATCATTCCATGCCCAGTGGTATCCTAAGAAACCATGGGAAAAAAATGCTTCATATTAATGAGGTCAATGTTTTCATAGGTGACAATTTAATTAGTTCCAACAAAAACTATATTCTCTGGTATATTTGTCCAAGACAGCCTCACCCGTCAGTGCCTTCCATGAAGTAGAAGCTCAATAACTATTCAGGGAATTAAGGAACAAATGGCCTCCCTGTGGTCTGGCCCCAGACCATAGAGTTGTACCCTTTGCAGATAGTACACCAAGAAGAATAAGAAAGTCTTATTTGGGTTCTTTTCTGTAACATTGCTAAGACTTTGGTTCCCAATAAAACAAAATTGCTACCTTCAGTGCAGGGCCATCTCTTCAATGACTGAAATGTCCAAGCTCTCCAAAATTCAGAGGTAAAGTAAAAGAGAAGATCCAGCAAAGGAGATAGAAAACAGCTGGTTAAATAGAAGGAAATCTAGCAAGAGTAAAGGAAAGGAAGGCTAGGGAAGGGAGTGTTTCAAGATACAATGTCATGTGAGTGAAATAACAGCTGAGAGGTCAAGAAAGTTAATTCAGATAACTGACCATCGGTTCTAAGAAGGTGTAGACCACTGGGGATGTTTATGAATGTCATTACAATGCATGGTATAGATGGAAATCTAGCATCAGCACTGAAATAGGTGAGAGGAAGTAGAGACAGAAAGTCCAGATAAGTTTTTAAAGTTGTGATAAGGGAGGGAAAGTGAGGTCAAAGGTGGTTTCTTTGTTTTAAGATGAGTGAATTAAGGTAGGTTTGTGAGCTGATGGCAGTCATCCAATGGTTATAGAGAAACTGATGATGTAAGAGAGAAAAAAGAATAATTGCACGCATGAAATCCTTTGGAAGGCTAGGGGAAATAGGCTAGGTTTAGGGTACTAGTCAAAAATCTTGATATCGTGTGATTTTTCATAGAGATTTATTTTATTTCCCTTTATGTTGTTATTATCATTAGCATTAGTATTGAGATTAGAGGGAGGGGCTTCCCTGATAGTCCAGGGGTTAGGACTGTGTCTTCTAGTACAGGGGATACAGGTTCATCAGTCCCTGGTTGGGGAACAAAGATCCCACATGCTTCGTATAAAAGCCAAAACATAAAACAGGAGCAATATTGTAACAAACTTAATCAAGACTTTAAAAATGGTCCCCATCAAAAAAAAAAACAAAAAACAAAAAACAACAACAACTTTACAGAAAAAGAAGAGATAGGAAGGAAAGAAGCAGTGTCTATCTACCTACAGAAGCTGGTGGACCCACGGACTTGACTTTGACAAGATGAAACTGTTCTCATCACATGATCTCTACCTCATTCTCTTGAAGTCATAATACATTAGTAAATGTAGAAGGGGTTCTAAAAAGAATCTTGATTCAATCTTTTTGTCTTGCATGTGAGTTAACTGAGGAATTAACCCAATGGACATTAAGGGCATTGGGACAAAGGACATTAAGGACATTGAGGAATGTCCAGTGTGTTTCTAGTTATAAAAATCGATGCATCCTCTGAAAGAGTATTGGGAACTTTGCTTAGTCCTGCTCACTCTCCTTTTCTTCTCCTGCTTATCAAGAGCTGTAATCAAGAGTACCCCATCAAAGGAGTGAGAGCTCATACTTATAGCCAAGAGGCAAAAGTTGACAGGAAAATAAATCTCGACTATATATATATATATATAGCCATTTATCCCTCCCATGTTAAACATTCTTATTTCTAACAAGTCATATTCACAGTCTGGCTTCTCAAAACTTATCTTTAGTGAAAACAAATTGCCTGCCTGAAGTGGTAATTTCCATTACCTCAAATCTGCCTCAAATACCAGACTCCTCTACAGTTTCAAGTATCATGTTATATGCTGCCATCACTTCATTAACTTCTGTTAATTGAGTCAAAAGGTTAGTCCTTAAGCTTAATCATATTACACAGAGACTTCTCAAGATCTTTCTTCAATGATTTAAATAAATAAAATTAAGAAAAATAATTTATTAGAGAAATTTTAGAAAGTAAAATAACTTGGCTCTAATCTATGTTCTGAAACATTTTTTTCCCCACTAGCCTCCAAGAGATACATCAAATCTAAGTACCTAATTTCCTCAGTAAATCCCAACATATTCCTGGATAACATCTTTGCACTGAAACTGATGAACTAAGCAAAGTTCCAAGACCTTGGCTTTAGCTGTCATGATTTGTTTTAAACAGTAACCAAATGTTGACCAGCTGAACGCTGAAATAAATTTCCTTTAAAAGGCTTATATTAATTTTGAAATCTTTTATTACAAACTACAGTAAAAAGGCTTTTCAGTACCAGTCCCTAAAAAGAATCTGTCGCCTAGATGAAAACATTGAAATAAAATATTCAGTAAGTGTTTCCCAGCAAATCAGCTCAATATGCTCACAGTTCTGAAGACACATAAATCCATTCTAACTTCTGTAATTACTAAATAATCCTGCATTGCATAATCAATGAGCAAATATTGGTTGATAATCACTATCAATTTTTATTAGAAAGGTTAAAAATAGGATAATTACTACTCAAATTATTCCAATGAGAATTTTAAAAGTACTGTTGGCCTATTTCACTACTTTCCATTCCAGAAAAGATCACAGTCACTATCTTCACTATTCATGGGTCTTCCTAGGCACACATGCTGAAATCATAAAGAAAATGTTGCAAATGTAAAACAGTCTTTTGAGACTGAATAAAAGGGGATTTATTTTTCTAGTCTTTAAGATTTATTTCAAATTAGCTCTGGGTAAATATTCTGACCTCAAGTCTGAGTTTGAGTGATAATTCAAGAAACAAAGACAAACAGAAGGATATGTGTAAGATTACTATCTCCTTAGTCATAACATAAATTCTATATAGCGATAAGATAAATAAATGAGGCCTCAGTATGATGGACAAAAGACATAAGCAATGATCAATAAATGTACTTTTACAGATGATTTATATTGATAATCAACAATGCATATGAAGACAAAATGAATTTTTTTATCCATCAAATTGTATAGTTTCCTTTATGTAAGTATAATTTAGAAAGTTGGCAGTGGTTTTAGGAAACAAATACTCAGCCTCTGATATTTAGAGTATTAAGTGATACCAACTTCCTCAAGGGCAATTGGCAATATATATCAAATGTCTTAAGGCATGTATACTATTTGATCCAGCAAATCTACTCCTAGGAATGTATTTTTAAAAAAATGATGAGAAATGAAAATTTAAATTAAATAATGAGCATCATGTAACATCTATGGGAGTGTAAAACTGAACACAGTTCAAATAACTAAGCAAGTATTTGTTAAATAAATTACAATATATTCATATAATAGCTACATTTTAGCCATTTAATATTTTAAGAGATTTATTCCATATTTTTAATTGATAAATTTTAGATAATAATATGCCTAGTATGATTCAAATTTGTTTAAATATACATGAACATGTGGTGTGTGTGTATCTGAAGTGGTATACATTAAAGTGTTATGAATGGTTAGGCTTAGGTGATAAAGTTGAGTAAGTATTGATTACTCGAATTTCTTTTTTGTACTTTGCTTCTCTGTATTTTTCAGATTATCTACAATGAACATAATATTATTCCAGAAAAATAAATATTCTTAAATCACTTAAGAATAAATATTATTTTTAAACTGCTATTTTAACAGCTTCATATCATAGATACTATCTTCCTATACTATACTTAAACTGCATTTATATCACTGCAAATAGCAAAAGCAAAATCAAACTCTATATAAAAAGATGATATAAACAGTAGCATGTAATCAATCCAGTAAAAATTTTGATTGTCAGAATTTGGCAATAAATGAAACAGACATATCTAATTTGGAATTTTGAATAGATTGCAAATGATGATAAATAGTCTGCATTAAGCAGATGCACAGTGTGTGACTTACAATGTGTGCAATTTTATGTATGTCATACTTCGGTGAGAAACATTAAAAGCGAATCCAGCCATTGAGCCCTGGCTTGCTCCTAAAGACTAACAGCCGAGTTGGCAGGAAACCTGGAAGGGCACTGAGTCTAACCCCTCACCCCACTTCCTCAAAGCTACAGATAAGAAATGCTGCAATGGCTTGGGAAGCATTCCACTGTTTAAACAGCCCTGATAAGGCCTTACTCCTCACAATGAACCACAAACCATCTGCCTCCTTTCAACTTCCAGGCATAGTCTGAGACAATCAGCTACAGGCATGCTTGAGTGTAGACAGTGAGAAGATCATCAACCACAAAGGCCTAGAATGCATCCTGTCACGTGGCCTGGGGATTGTGGCTGCCATCACAGCTCTGGTGGGTATGATCGAAGGATGATGACAGTTGTGTGCCCAGAAACTACAGTGCGGTCAAAGAAAGTAGGACAAGTGCAAACAGCAGGGCCAGAATTTCTATGGCTTGGCTGATGGTAAGCTGAATTTCTTTTTCCAAACCCAGTGGTGCAGTGGGGTATGGATGCCCCATAATCAAGAACTAAAGGAAGAGATGCTTGCGATAGATAATGGAAACAGACTGTTCAAGTGCAGCCAAAGACTTTTGCTCCTTTGGAACTAAGGCCATACCTCAAATGAGCTACAAATAAGACTGTTTGGTGAATCAGGACTTTGCCTGAATATTTTAAAATGATAAAGAGGACTTACTAAGAATCCTTTGAGGGCAGTTCATTTATTTTGACTCAGATCACTCAATGAACGATATATCATTAGATTAAAAAATATCCCCAGACCAACAAAAAACAGGATATTTAACCTATGATTTAAGATTGGATTTTACTCTTGAGTCTTTATTTAAAAAGATATACAACTCTAACTAAATTACTCGCTCTTGAATAGTTTCAACTTAATCATTAGTAAAGTGTCATTGAACCATTTAAGATCACATTTATTCCAGTGAGTCTGAAAGTAAATCTAGAACACTAAGATTCTAAATTTATAATCCCACAGTAAAGACATTTCTGTAAAGAGAAAGCAATCTCCTAAGATTTTTAAACACAACATAATTTCCATGTTTACAAAAGCTGTATTGTGTATGAGTATTATGGAACCAATCCCATCTCATTACAGTCACAAGGGGGAAGATAAAGAGAGAGAGGGTGTGTCCACAAGTAAAGGGCAACCTATTGTCTCTGTAGCCAATCAGTGAAACCCCTACATCTGAGGTTCCATTCAGAGGGCACATTTGTTAAATTCAATTGCTCCTATGTCCAACAAAGTTAGCCTAGGTATCTGACTAACACCATCAGCAATATAGTATTGTACTGTAATAGATGTGCAATTCTTCTCACACAAATAATACATAAGAAATCAACACAAAAAATAAAAAGAAAACACTTTAAATCTTATAGTATAGTACCTTGAAAAGTACAGTAGTACCAGCTACATCACTGCTGTTTTATGCTTGCTTCCAGAATCCTGGGCTTGAAGTAAAGATACTGTATATCTGTACTCTATACAGTACTATATAGTAAAGCACAGAAAAGCATAACTACTTGTACAAGATGCACACAGGTGACAATACACACCAGACACATGAAATAACTTACGTGACTGGACATGCAAATGCATGGTCACATCTTTGAAAGTTTGCAACTTGAAGGTTCATATGTAGGTGACTTACCGTAACTTTTGATTGTTTCATGCCTTTCTCTTTCACTTTCTTATGCATCCTCTTAGTTCCCTTTGATAAATTCAGGTCAGTTCAGTCGTTCAGTCATGTTTGACTCTTTGTGACCCCATGGGCTGCAGCTCACCAAGCTTCCCTGTCCAGCACCAACCCCCAGAGCTTACTCAAACACATGTCCATCAAGTCAGGGATGCCATCCAACCATCTCATCCTCTGTCATCCCCTTCTCCTTCTGCCTTCAATCTTTCCCAGCATCAGGGTCTTTCCATATGAGTCAGTTCTTTGCAGTTCTTTGATAAATTACAAAACTATAATTAAGAAAGAAAAGATCTGAAAGTACAATAGAGAGAGGAGCATTTGCAAAGAATTAAACCCTTGGACAATTAAGACAGCTCTGCCTACAATCACTTCCTTGTGAAACCTCTCCTTTTGGTTAGAATGGATTTGTCCTCTCACTTTGCACACTGCTGCTCTCCCTTCACCCTGCATGAGGTCACCTGACAAACAGCACTTCCTCCAGATCTCACTCATCCACTCCATCACTTATTAGCATATAATCCATTCATCCACTCCATCACTTATTAGCATATAATCCATTCATCCACTCCATCACTTATTAGCATATAATTAGCATATTTTGACCAACCTGGAAGTAAAACAGAAAGGGCTCTCTTCTCAACGAGCTAAGCGCCTAGT